GGAAGGAAGGAAGGAAGGAAGGAAGGAGAAAGAAAAAGGAGGGAGGGAGGGGCCTAGGAAACACACCAGCTCAATTTCGCATCTATTCCAAGGTTCGGTTCTCCCTATTTTAAATGACTGTTTACACATCTTTTATGCACAGAAAGGCCCCAAAGAGGTTTTAAATCCCAGATTAACATCCGCCATTTCTATCGAAAGGAACTGGGATGGGTGGATGCTTTTTATTACAGCCAGAGATCTGAACCCACCAACAGGACACGTTCCCCGAGGGCCAGAGCGCAGACCTTCTCTGGCTTGCAAGGCGTTCCCAAGGCAAGATCTGGGCTGCAAAGCTCCAGGTGGCCAGTAGGTGGCAGAGTCTGCTGGGTCATCACGCCACCCCCTAGTGGCTCTCCTGAGGTTTGCAGCCCTACCTGTCTCAGCAAAGCAGGCAGGGAACTCACAGGCCTCAGCGGGTGCCTGGCAGCTTTTAATTAACCTTGCCGATTAACTCATGTTCCTTGCTATAAATACGATTTAATTAGTGCCAGCAGGAGTTCGTGGGGACCGATGAAAGTGCGTCCTTTAAGGCTCACCGTGGGGTGGGGAAGATGGCTGGAAACAGGAAAGGGGGAGTCTCCAGATGGGGAGCCAAGTGATGGGGGAAGCCAGTTCTCCCAACATCTGGCAAACCTCTGGAAGGAGAAAGGGAAAGAGAGAGATCCTGTAGGGGCCTGTCGAAGAAGAAAAACAAAATAAAAATTAGAGAACACAGAAATAAAAATAAAGATTAAAAAAAAACAAATAGAAATGAAATAAAAAACAAATAGAAGGAAATAAAAAACAAATAAAAATAAAAAACAAATAAAAGTAAACATTAAATGTTCGCCTTTACATTCGGGGAAAACTATAAAAAAACAAAAAACAAAAATAAAACTATAAAGAAATAAAAAACAAATAAAACTATAAAGAAATAAAAAACAAACAAACATAAAAGTAAAACTTACATTTTCGCCTTTACATTTAAGGCAAAACCCCACCACCCCCAACCCCCTGAGAGCCACCCCGGCTAATACATCTTTACAACCGCATCACAACCCAGCCAGTTTCGGCCAACCCAGCCAACAGGATCAGTTCACTAAAAAAAATACAATAAAAATGCAATATTAATAGAAGAGAATATGCGTTCAGGGGCAAACCTGGGCGTAAGGCAGCCATGAGCCCCTGCCTGGCGTGGCTGCACCTTACAACTCCCCCCTCCCTGCCCTCTCTTTTGTTTTCAACGGCAAAATCAAGTCTCCAGGCCTCAGCGAGGACCCAACCCACGCGGACTAGCCTCTTGCGAAGACGAAGGAGACGCCGACGCGGGGAAAGGGGGCGTGGCCTCGCCTCCCGCTCTCCCATTGGCCGGAACCGCTCCTTTGTTCTCAACGAGCCGCGCCCGCCGTTGCTAGGAGACGGTCCAAACAAAACTGGGAAAAGCGGCGATGGCAACGCATTTCAGCTCGGGGCAGGTGAGAAAGGGGGTGGGGGTGGCGGACCCCCCCCCAATATCTCCCCCCCCGTTCTTTCCAACAGGGAGACTTAAATGCATGGGGGGGAGGCAAAGTTTAGGAGGGGGGGCCGGTCCTCCCCACTCTCTGGCGCCCCCCAGATGGGTTGGGCTACAACTCCCATGAGGGGCTTGGGGGGCTTGGAGGCCTTGGAGGTGCAGGCGGGGAGGGGAGATGCTTTGGACTACAAAACCCATCCACTGCAACCCCTGGGAGGCGCAGAAGGGGGGGAAGCGGGCAGGAGGGACCTTCCCCCCGTTTTCCCCCTCCTCCTCTCCATCCCAAATTCTCACCGGGAGCAAAAGTTTTCCCAATGCAGAAGAAATTCCCTTTCCTTCCGCCCCAGTTTGCCCCAGTTTGCCCCAGTTTGCCCCAGTTTGCCCTTCCCCCCCTTCTCCGGCCTTGTATACTCACTCTCTCTCAGCCCAACACCCCTCACAGGGTTGTGGTGGTGGAAAAAAGAGGAGGACGAGGTCCGTTCGCTGCCTTGAGTGATTTATTTCTATAAATAAGAAGGGCGGGATAAAGAAATATCTAACAAATACAATTAAATCGTTCGTCCCCCCCCCCCAACTTGGTTTTCCAGTATGAAGATGCGTATAATTCCCGGAATTTGCAAAGCTGGAGTTTTCCCAAAGTTACTAAGGCGGTAAGTTGTTCCGAAGACAAAAATCAAAGCCCCTTTCTAAAACAGGAGAGGGAGCGCATTCGCACAACACACCGAATCCCGGGTGTGGTCAACCTGGGTTGTGTGAATACGGCCCGTGGGGCTTGTTTGTGTTCCGCGGACTCAGAAAATGGTGGGCATGCTGATTCGGGCCACCCTGGGCAGGAACGCCCTGAAAGTATCACCCGGCCTTCAAAATAGATTGAAATCCTGACTTTCTCCTTTTTTTCTTGGAAGAAGGCTGATCTTCCTCTCGGCTTTAGCTCTTGAGCCCGTTTCAAACTCTCTTGTGGAAGTCAAGAACTGGGAATGTTGGTTTAAGGGCTGCTGTTGGCCGTTGGTTCCACTATTCTACTTATTTCATTCGTTTTATTTTATTTATGCTGTCTCCATTTTCCTTCCACTCACCCTCGTTTTTCTCCCATCAGCATCCTTCTGCCCGGGAAGGTTTTACCCAGTTTGTAGCCAATGACAGAGGTCACTTGCTACCTTCGATCCCCCGCTCTAAGGTGAGGATTTTCTCCTTTTCTAACCAGGATTTTCTCCCCAAACCAGTGTTTCTCAACCTTGGCAGCTTGAAGATGGGTGGATTTCAACTCCCAGAATTCCCCAGCCAGCACGCTGGTTAGGGGAATTCTGGGAGTTGAAGTCCACCCATCTTCAAGTTGCCAAGGTTGAGAAACACTGCCCTAAACTGACAGCCTGGTTTCTCACGGCAGGCTTTAGCTAGTTACAGAATGAATCCAGTTGTGCGCAAGGCCATGGCTCGATTCGTACAACCCTCTAAATCCAGGTTTATCAAACACAGTGGCTACATTCATGAGACATGCTGGGCCCAGGTGAATCAACCATATTACGGATTCATGCATAATAATAATAACGATGTATGTTAAACCTATGGCTGGGTTCCCACGAGACACCCTGTTTTAGCTTGCCCTCAGCAACCAGGTTGGGTTCATACAACCCACTAACCACAAAATTGCTGAAGCAGTTGAAGTGATTGGGAACCAAGGTTAGCGTTTTTTTAACCTCTGCCATTAGTTCAACCCCATCCAGAATCGTGGAAAGCCAACCCCTGCTCCCCAAACTTTGCTATTTTCTCAGTGCCTGGGGCAAGCTGGTGGGTGATCCCCTGTAAGTTTTTATTTGGTGGGATCTGTTTTATATGGTCTTTCTAGGCACATGCAATTTGTGTCTTTGTTACAGGCAGTCCTCATTTAGCGACCAGAATAGGGACCGGCAACTCCGTTGTTAAGCAAAGCAGTCACTAAGTGAAACTGTGACTGTGCTTATGATCCGACTTCAGCTTTCCTCTGCTTTACAGACCTGCAAAGGTCATCAGTGTGAGGACTGGTCACAAAGTTACTTTTTCATCACCGCCGTAACTGCGAACGGTCGTTAAACAAGGACGACCTGTATCGTTTTGGCTTTTTTGCATGTAAAGCGCCCAGAAGCATTTGCAGTGGGGCACTTTTTCGATCTATGCAAATAAGCAAACGAATACATTCAAAAACAAGGGAACGCGGGTGGAAAGGAAAGCTAGAAGGTGGGCCCAGTTTGGACCCCTTGAAAATCATCCCTTCTCCTGCAACTGGTGTAGCTTTCTAAGGCAGAAAAGGCAGCCTTCTCGCCAGGCTGTTGCAAATATCACAGCCGGGTGCTTCTCCCCACCTGCCTTCGCAGCGCCACCACGTAAGCCGGGCACGGCTTTCCCCCGTTGCACGCGGTGCTGAGCAAATACAAAAGAGAGATTTCTCCCTTTCCCGTAGGCTTCCCCTTGGGGTACTTATATGAGCACCTGGGATATGCCACTGAAAATCCCGCCAGCCAAAGTTACTCTCACCTCCCGTTCTGTTGACGCAGCTGCCCAGCTCACCCAATGGATGAATAAATCAGCAGCCTTGAGCCAAGCGTGCAACGGACTGTGCCCAGAGATCATTGGCAAGGTAACCACAAATAGAGCTTTTCTTTCCCTTTGCGCAAAACGTACCTGGGGGTTACTTCGGCCGGACCGCGTTTGCCGAGTTCCCGTGCGTGCGTCGGAAACTTAAAAGAGAATTCTGCGGGCTGCGAAGGAGTTGGGTAAGCGTCTTCGAAGCACAGCTCTGTTGGTTTGAGTTTTCGGCAAGAAATGGCAAAAGGAGGTTTATGTTTTTTTTTAAGGCCGGGGATGATGGGAGGTATGACAGTTGAGAACTGGCCAAGGCGTTTGGTTCGGCCTGAAATTGTTGAACACAGAGAGTCTGCAGCTTGTGAGAGAGAGGGCCATATTGATCTGTTGGGGTTCAGATCACAAAATGCCTGGGCCCTAGTGTGCAAACTATAGATTAGGGCCGTGTATCCCCACCGTGACAACTCTAAGATATGTGGACTTCGATTCCCAGAATGCATGCTGGCTGGGGAATTCTGGGAGTTGAAGTCCACCCATGCTGGCTGAGGAATTCTGGGAGTTGAAGTTGATGAGGTTGGGAAACCCTAGATTGGGGTCTCAACTTCATCTCAAACCATCCACATGCCTTCAAGTTAATTCTCAACTCTTGGGAGCTACATAGGTAAGTCTCTCCAAGTTTCTTAGCAGCCTTTCTGGAAGTGTTTGACCCTTGCCTTCTTCTTCCTAGAGGGACTGGACCCAAGTCCCCCAAGCTGGCTTCATGCCTAAGGTGGGACTAGAACTCATGGTCTCCACCAGCTTGCCCAGGATATCTGCAGCCCCCTGGCTGGTGGTATTAATCTGTTCCTCTTGCGCTGACTGTTTTCTCCTGAATGTCTCCACCCCTGCTTGGCGTCTCGAGGTCCATGCCCGAGAAAATGTCCATCCCCCTGGACTTGTTCCTCTTTCAGGAGACCCCCAGGCCGTTTGGCTCTTCAGCAACCCCGTAGGGTTGTCGCAAGGAGGCGATGCGATTTCCCCAGGATAGAAAGTGATATAAAAAATAGGCTAGCACAGTGTTTCTCAACCTTGGCAACTTTAAGATATGTGGACTTCAACTCCCAGAATTCCCC